ACACCCCTACTCCCCAGATCTCCCTATACCTACCAAAGGCCCTTTGTTGACCTCTTTCTGGTCCATAACTTTCCTTCCAACCCACTTCCTAAGCCAGGTGCCCTCGCTTTCTATCTGCTACCTTCAAATCTTACTCAATTTTTCCTTTCTCCTCTTACTGATCCAAAATAGTACCACCAACTATATAGTCAAAGGAAGCCAACCTAGCCATCGTCGCGTGAAGGACCAGGTGTCTACACCCACTTATGCCCTAGAGTTTGCGGTTCTCAGTATTGGAGAAGAAGATTATCTTTGACAGCCTCAGCTCTTTCTGCCAGGTGGAGTGGTCATGGGTGAAGAACAGCTTTGTGTCCTATTCACCTGAATTGTGGACATGGCAGGAGCTCCAGCCAGGCTGTATAGGCAGAGGAAGGAACAGCACTTTCTGCTATTGAGCCTGGCAACAGGGACCAGACCCAGGGCCCTGGAAGGACTGCGAGTTTCCAGCAGGGGTGAGCATAGAAGAATGAAAACTATTAGAGGCTAGTGCCTAAAGTCTGCAGGCCTGCGGTTCTGGGATGAAGTTCTCTCTTATGTCTTACCTTGTGTCTCACAGATGGGTTGTTGTTAGGTGCTGTCAAATCAACTTCAACTCATAGCAAACCTATGGATTGATCTGAATCCTGCCCTGTCCTGTCCTGTCTGTATCGCTGTGTCAATACCTCTTGTTGAGGGTCTTCTTTTTCTTTGCTGACCCCTACCTTTCCAAGCATGGTGTCTTTTTCCAAGGACTGGCCATTCCTGACAGAATGCCTGAAACATGTGGGACAAAGTTTTACCATCCTTACCTTTAAAGAGAACCCTGGTTGCACTTCTTTCAAGATTTATTACTTCTTTAAAGAATCCATGGTATTTTCAGTATTCTTTTCCAATATCCCAATTCAAAGGCATTGGGTATTTTCCTTGTGTTATCTTTAGTCATTGTCCAACTTTCAGATGCATAGAAAGCGATTGAGAATACTATGGCTTGGACCAAGTACACCTTAGTCTTTAAACTGACATCCTTTCTCTTTAGCACTTTGGAGAGGTCCTTAACAACAGATGTCCCCAAAGCAACATGTCTTTGTTTTTTTTTTAATTTTTTGTTCCCTTCCCCCCACAACATGTCTTTTTATTTCTAGAGTGCTGCATGTTGACTGTAGATTCAAGCAATATTAAATCATTGACAATATTTTCTCCACCATGATGTTGCCTATTGGTCCAATGGTGAAGATTTTGGTGAATGTTGAGATGTAATCCATATTGAAGGCTGTAGTCTTTGATCTTCTGCAGCAAGAGTTTTAAATTCTCATCACTTGGAAGCAAGGTTGTGGAATCTATATTATGCAGGTTGTTGATGAGTTTTCATCTAATTCTGATGCCACATACATATTGTCTAACTTCTCAAATTCTTTTTCATATAGCCTAGTTTCTCAAATTATTTTTTTCAGCATACTGATTAAATATGTATGTATATGGAGAAAGGATACAACCCTGAATCTCACTTTTCTTTTTTTCTTTTTTAAATTTTTTTAAATTTTTATTGTATTATTTTTACGTGTACCGTCAAATCACATCTGACTGGTACAGGAGGAGGCTGTCCCCTCCTTCTCCAGCAGAGCATCTGGTGGATTTGAACCACGTACTTCTGGGAGAATCTCACTTTTCTTGATTTTAAATCATGCAGCTTTCTCTTGCTCTGTTCAGTCATCAGTACCTTGGTCTATGGGCACATTTTTCATGAGCACAATTAAGTGTTCTGGGATTCCCATTCTTCTCAATGTTAGCCGTAATTGATAAGAACCACAGAGTCAAACACCTTTGCAATAGTAAAATACAATTAAACATCTTTCTGATATTCTCTGCTTTCAGCCTAGAATTAGAAAATAAGGGATTGACGACGATAATGAGACTGGAGATGGCATGACGGAATTTTGTACCATCGGTAATTTATTCATTACAAATACCTTTTAAAAAAACCATAAATGGTGACTATACACAGAGACCTCACCTGATGGACTGTGTAGCAATCAGATTGACTACATCTATGAAAAGAGTTAATAGAGAAGCTCAATATCAGCAGTAAAACCAGGCAAGGTCCTATGAAATAGGTCATTAGTACTCCTGTATGTTTAAATTGAAAGTAAGAAAACTAAAACATGTCCACAAGAACCAAACTATGACCTCGAGTCTATCCTACCTAAATTTATAAAATATCTTGAGAATAGATTTACTGCTTTAAACAGTAGGAATTGCGGACCAGACAAGTTGTGGATGATATCAAGAACACCATTCATGAGAAAAGCAAAAGTTCTTTACAAAGACAAGAGAGAGCACAAAGACTGAAATGGATTCCAGAATAGACTGAAAATTACACTAGATGGCCAAAACAGAAGATTTCAAAGGGCAGCTCAGGAAGGCAAAGCAAGGCATTATAATGAAACGTACAAAGAGCTAGAGTTAGAAAACCAAAGGGGAAGAAAAAATTTGGCATTTATCAAGCTGAAAGAACTGAAGAACAAATTCAAGCCTTGAGTTACAATTCTAAAGGATTCTATGGGCAAAAACTTGAATGAGGCAAGAAGCATCAAGAGATGGAAGGAATACCAAGTCACTGTACCAAAAAGGAATTGGTTGACCCAGAGCCACTTCAGGAAGTAGCATATGATCGAGAATAAGAGGTGAGAAAGGAAGACGTTCAAGTTGGACTTTAGACATTGGTAAAAATAGGCTCCAGGAATTGATGGACTACCATTTGACATGTTTCAACAGATAGATGCAGCCTTAGATGTGCTCCCTACTCTTTGCCAAGAAATTTGGAAGACTTGGCCCATTCCAAAAAAAAAAGTGAATACAGAATTCAACAGAGTACAGACATTATCAAACAATATTATTAATATTACCCATAGGAAAAATCTTACTGAAGATTATTCAAAGACAACACAACCCTGATGTGTAACTTTTTTCATTTTAAACCCTTAGAGCTTATGTTGATATTTTTCCTTGCAGGCATCTGGTAGGTCATATCCTGCCTCCACCCTCCTTCCTCCTTTGGGCCACTCATCCTACTGACTTCTTTCCCTAGGCGGGTCTCTCCTGTTAAAGCAAACACTACGTTTTCTTGCTTTAACCTCAGTTAGTTCCCTCTTTCTCCTCTACCTAAAGCTTGAACCAACATTGTTTTCTCATCATTGTTTCCTTCTATTGTATGTTAATTCTCGGGCCCAAATCCAGGGTCAGTTGAGAGACCCAGAGGGGTCCTTGCTGGGTGGGAAAGATGCCTGCTCCATCCCACTCACCCTTCCTCCCTATAATCCAGGAGAAGGAAGGGGGGACACAACCTGCTAGATATCTGTCATGGAAAATCCCAACCACAGGTCCTGAGAGGGCCAGTTATTTAGGGAATTCAAACTTGAGCCCTGTGTTCTGAAGATGGATTCACTGGAGAGGCTGATAATCTCTTTGCAAAGGAGTCCCCTTTAGGGTCAGGCAAGGACCTGCTCTGCCAGCTAGCGAGCAACTCAGCGGAAGTCCCCGGCTGCTCCCTGCCTTCCCTCCTCTCTTCTGTGCTCAGAACTCTCACACCTGCCCCCCACCCCACTCTGCTGGCTTCCCTTCACGCATCTCTGTGCCCAGAGAAATGGGGACACTCTGGAGGAGAATCCTGCCCTCTGGTTGATTTCAGGAGAAGAGGGGAGGGCAGAATTTCCTCTCCTTCTTTCTCTCTCTCCCTCCTCCATCACCCCCATTGTTTCTTCCATCTATTCTTTGCTCCACTCTCTTGGGTTCTTTTATCAAATAAGCAACAGCAACTCCCTCTGCCCAGCTTGTCCTGTCCAGGGTCATCTCCTCCGTCCTTGTTTCTAGCTAAGAGCTAAAGACACCCCTTCTAGCTGGCATGTGAAGCTCTTCACTCCCACACTTCATAGCACGGAGGCTTTCTCTCTATCTAACCTTCATCTGGCTTGCTGCAGATGTACCTTCCTGTCTCCAGAAGCAGGAGACCCTTTTCCAGTCCATGTATCTGGCCTTTGTTATCAAGTGGATCTCCACAAACCTCTTAGAAACTCTGGAGGAGGAAGATTTTCCTAACCTCACCCACAACTGCAGGCTGAGAGTGAGCCTTAAACCCCACAACCACCACCAAGAACAGCAAAAAGAGGTGTCATATCCACGCAGTAAACAAAGGGTCAACAACAACACTCAGAGATGTCACCCGAATGCCTGTTGGCCCCAGCCCAGGCTGCCTTCCTGCTTCCCTGGGGGCCCTGTCTGTCCCCAGCCTGTCCCTCTCTCAGCTGCCTCACTGCCCAGTGAGTCTTGCTTCTCCTCCTCAGCCTTGGAGAGGCTCCATCCTGAGGGCATGAAACGACGTTCTTTCCTTCCTCTCCAGACTTGGAACTATCTCCTGACTCACCTTTGGTCCCCACTAACACCCCTTCTGAGGTGTTTCATACACAAGGGCAGGTCCCAAGTTCAGATGATAACTTTGTCTGCCTTCAGTGTACCTGCAACTTGTACAATTGAGGAAACAGCCCATTTCTTCCCCTGGGAGATTGGGAGATCATCTGAGCTCTAGTTCTGTGTTGTGAGTTCACATTGTTCCAGATCACTCGGCCTCAGTTTCCCCATCTGGAAAAGTAGAGAAAGGCTCAGGCCGCATAGCCTCCCTCTCTCATCCTGGGGTTCTGAGCTGATAGAGCCCCCCTCTACCTGATCAGAGGGGGCACGCTCCCCTCCTTCCACCCCCACCCCTCAAGTCCTTCTGGTGTGGCTGCCACCACAGCGGTTGTGAGCAGCCAAGGGGGAGGGGGCATGCCGCAGGACAAGCGGACGGTCAGTGACCAGTTGCTAAAGGGGCGGGAGGGAGGAGTCCTCAGGGATCTTGTTTCAACAAACGTTTCTTTCCCCGAGAAGGGAAGGGCGGGGGCGGGGGGGAGAGGGACCTATTTAAAGCTACCCTGTTGCTTCGGCTGTCTCTGTCTGTCTACCAGGGTCTCTGGCCGTGCTGACTGGCGGGGCTGGTGTGGGCCTGGGAACCTCCCGGTGACTTCTCCCACCTTGGTCCCCTCAACCACTCTACCCCAAAATGGGCCGTGGGGTGAGTATCCCAAAAAGCAGGGTAGCTGGTGGGGTGGGATGAGGCTCCCTGGAGGTAAGGTATCCTGGGAAGAAAGGACAGAGGTGTGGAGGGTGGGGAGATACACTGACTGGTGGGAGAGCTGAAAGTTGGACGGCATCTCCACACTGCAAGTACGCACAGATCTCAGGTCCCTGTGCGCTCCACCATCCGCAACCCTCATCAGCCCATAGACTCCACCTCCAGGACTCCTTGAACCCGATCCCTGCATTTCTAAACACCCCAGTCCGGTCTCTCTCACTGCATCTCCTCAAGTCACTCTTCACCTCCTCAGCTGAAGGCACACTTGGTGCTTCCAGCCCTTCTCACCTTCACTCCCCCCCCCCCCCACACACAGTATCCATTCCTCAGAGAGCGCCCACCATGGCGGATAGGATTCAGTTTGAGGTTGGAGGAGGGCAGTGGAGGATACTGCCCTGGAGTCACCAAGCAGTTCCGGACAGCAGCTCCAGGGGCCCTGAGTGCCAGGGACAGCTGGGAGGAAGAGGGGTGTGCTCCCAGGGCCCCTCCGGATGTCCCGTGTGGCATTGTCCTCAGGCACTAGGCCATGGGCTCTGAGGACTTTCCCAGAGGCTGGTGGGAACTGCCCCCCTCCCAGACCCTCCCCTGGCCATGGCAGTCTGCAGTCCTGGGGATGCCAACAAGAAGATTAACAGCCATGCAGGGGGAGGGAAGTGGAGCTGGGAACCGGCTTGGAATTCTTGGAAATGAAATTCCCATATGGAGAAAAGTGACCCGTTCCCTTTACATACTTGGCCTGACTGCTTTCCTTATGTGGGATGTTGGCAGAAGAGGGCACAGAGGGAAAGAACTTGGTGAGCCAGAAGAGAGTTCTAAGGAAAAGGGGTGTCTATGGGGAGATGTGGGGGCGTCTCTGGACCTGAGGGGGTCAGGCGAGGACATGTTATTGCACTGAGTTTAGCAGCTGGGAAAACTCTGAGCCTGGACACCAGGGTTCCTGAGCTTGGGTAGGGGTTATAAATAGAAACTCTGTGTGTGTGCACTGTGTATGTGTGTGTCTGTGTATGTCCCCACTACCCTTGTGTCCTCCATAACCTGGAATTTATACAGATATTCATGGGCACGCAGGAGCAGGCAAATTTGCAAAGGTTATAGACAGCTTCAGGCAAGGCTTTAAGACTGTGTGAGGTGGAAATCCCTGCACAGGACTGGGGATGTGAGGTGTAGTAAAGCAGTCACAGCCATGAGGGGAAAAGGGCTGCCTTGAGACCTTCAGCTCCACCTTGGCATCTCTTGCTCCCTCAGGCAGAAGGAATTCCCAGCTGAGATGCAGAACCTCTGAGAGCGATGCCAGGGATGGTGAACCAGGCCAACCCTCCACTGACTCCAATTTAGGACACAGTGGACTGAGCTCAGGAGGTCCTGCCTGGGAGGCTGTTTGACCTTGACATCTCCAGGGGAGATGCCTCCCTGGCAGCCTACAGACTATCTTTCTCCCCCAGAATCCCTGAAATCCCTCTACTATACTGGAGTAGCTATCGGTGAAATAGTAGCAAGACGTAGTGGATCTGGTTCTCTGGTCTGAGGGGCTCAGTGAAAAGGAGTATTTAGAGGAGCAACAGCAGCCCCTAGCCACCCTCTCACTGTTGTGTTCATTCCACCTCCTTTCATTCTTCCCTGCAGCTCCACTCCAGAGCGAGGCATAGCTGTTATCCCATCACTCCGTGGCTGCAGAGGGCAGCGTGGGAGATGGGGGAAGGGCCCATTCTGGTGGGGAGAGCCCAGACTCTCCAGCTGCTAGGGGGGTGCCTGAGGTGGGGGAGGGCTGGCTGCTTTCCCACTGCCCCTACTCTGTCCCAGCCTCTGGCTTTCTCAGAAAGAACTCTCTGTTCTCCTCCAGCATTCAAGACCAGGAGAGGGGGGCTAGTGGGCCAGAGGAGGGAGGAGCAGAGGAATGGGGGGGGGTCTTTGCTTCCTCTCTTTCTTTTTAGCCTGGGCAGCCACTGCCCGGAGCTCTCTGCAGGCTCCTGGCTGCAAAACCTGAGCTCCTTGCCAGAACAGGACGAGGGGCAGGGGCAGTGTGTCCCCAGCTCAGAGTCTGATGGAAAGCAGGGTGGGGGCATGAAAAGCGGGGACAACAGGGGAAATTTTGGCTTAGCCACAGTCCAGTGTTCCAAATGCTCACGGCTAGCAAGTTATTAAAGCACATGCAGTTGACCCTAGTTTTCCTGAACTTTATTTCACACCTGAATGTACGGACACTCCCCTGGGCTCTGCTCCTTGGCCCTCAGGTACAGCCCTTTCCTCCACTCTCCATGTGTGGCCAGGCCCTGCTCCTTTCCGGAGCTCCTCAAGGGCCAGATTGAAGCTTTCCTGCCTGATCATTTCTGCCCTTGGGCCACTTCCTGCTTTTCACCCTTTTCTCAGTCCCATCTACCAAGAAGAGTTTGCAAAGCCAACACATTTCAACCTACTCAGTGTAATGAACCCATTTCGCCTTATGCATTCTTTCTCTTGGGCTGCTTCAAAGGTGATTCTTGGTTTTTAGGAGGCTAAGCGCGAGGTTTACTGACCACTTTGCTGAAAAAAAAAACCCTTGCCTTCTGAGCAGCACTGCCTCCAAAACCTCATGTTCTTTGAGGTCATTGGGACATCAAAGGACAATTGTGTCTGCCTCCCACCTCACCACCCTCTCATTCTGCTCTCTTTGGCCAAACTTCTACCTCTCAAGATAGTCAACCTTTTATGGTCAAGGTAGATGCCATGTTCCTGAAATGTCCCTGAGCCTGGGATGAATGTTAAAAAAAAAAAAGAATAAGAAAAAGAAATACAAAAGAATAAAATACCTCAGTGGTAAACTACCAGGTATCCACTGAATTGAAGCTGGAGAGGGAGTACACCAAAGAATGGAAAAGTCTGTTCCTATAGACTTGGCACAGTCCCAAGAGTCCTGGGCAAACACTGAGCAGCGCCTTTGTGAGGGAAGAGAGGAAGAGAAAGGATGGTGAGAGAAGAATGACTGAAGAAAGCATCTTGCTGGGACACTCGTCATGACCCTCTCTAGCATTCCCAGATCCCTCCTGTCCCATCACCTCAAGACTACCTGCCACTGAAAGGAAAAAGTTTCCAACCTGACCTACTGTCTGCAGTGACAAGATCACAGACCCTGAAGAGGAAGCAAAAATGGAGACCCACGATGCTCCAAAGGTCCCTACGTGGCACAAATGATTCAGCGCCACTATAATGGACAAGAGAGCTCTGATGGCTTAGTGGTAAGAAGTTGTGCTGCCATCCCAAAGGTACAGGGTTCAAAACCAACAGTCACTCTGTAGAAAGAAGATAGACGTTCTCCTCCTTTGCAGTTAACTAACCCTAAAAACCCATGAGAGGCTCAGCTATGAGTCAGTTCTGACTCAAAGGTGCTTAACAACAACAACTAATGGAAAAGTTGGTGAATTGAACCTATCAATGACGTTACAGAAGAAAGGCCTGGAAACCTGCTTCTGTGAAGCCTGCGACCAAGAAAACCCTCTGGGCAGTGCTACTCTGTAACATACCTGGTGGCCACAAGTCAGAGCCAACTCGGCAACAGGTCATGAAGCTGCTTTTTAAATCCTCATCAAAAAAGACCCAGAAACTGAAAAACAAAAATGAGAGTGTTTTCAAGCATCACCACTCTAGAAATAGAAGAATGGCATTCAAATTAGCTGAAGAGGAGCTGTGGACCCCCCCTTTGTGTGAAGCTGGAAGTCCCTCCAAATGCCATCCTTGTGGTTATGAGAGGCAGGGGGTACTCTGATGGTCCCACCCTTATGTCCCCAACTTATCTTCACAGAAAACCCCTGGAAAGTCTGCACTAAGGCTTTAGTTCCAGGTTTATTATGAGAGTCAATTTTTAAATAGTACTTTTGCTTAATGAAGTTCCCTTCTTACCCAATTACGCTGTAGGGCCATGAGTCCTGTGACCTACCTCTTGCATCATAGTGGGCAGGCCTGCAGCAGGCTGGACTTTCCATTTTCAAAATATACTCTTCTGCAGATACTGACTTTTCACAGACCGCTGGCCCTACTCGGGGCCCTTTCTGCCACTCTGCACTCCATTGCTCCTGCCTCTCCTCTGGATGTTTCTCTGCCCTAAGCCCTGGCTCCCCAAACACTCCTACTTCTCAAATTCCTGTCTCCTTGTCTCTCTAAGTAACCACAGGGTTGGGGAAGACCTTCCTACATATTATTTCCACTCCATTCTAGCATTCTCTTACATTGCCTAGAATGGTAGTTTCCAAAGCTTTTATGTGTTTTGTTTCATATTAAGCAACAAGTTGACCTTTTCAACACACAGAATCTTAGCCTAAGCTCAAATGCTAAATATTCTGAGAGTTATTGTCCCAAATCCTGATTCTAGCCTTACCTGCCCCTTTGCAGGGAGCTCTGGGGTTCAAATATTCTGCAAATGGTTTGCAAATTAAAAGCCTGGGGCCCTTGCTGCCTTTGAATAAGTTGACCTCACTCCCAATGCCTGAGCTCCCTGACTGTCCAGTGGGCTTCAACCACACTGCCTTGGGTCTAGCTGAATTTTTGGCTCCCCTTCCTCCCACAGGCTGGCCGTGAGTACTCGCCTGCTGCCACCACCGCGGAAAATGGGGGTGGCAAAAAGAAACAGAAGGAGAAGGAGCTGGATGAGCTGAAGAAGGAGGTGGCCATGGTGAGTGACACTATTGCTCAGGGGGAGCTCCATGGTAGGACTCAGTGAAGCCTGTGTCTGCCCCATGTCAAGCACCTCTCCTTCCCTCTTACCTCCTACTGCCCTTTCATGCATTAGACCTACACACCCAGCCTCTTTCCCCAAGTAACTCTACCTCCCATCCCCAGGATGACCACAAGCTGTCCCTGGATGAGCTGGGCCGCAAGTACCAAGTGGACCTGTCCAAGGTGAGTTGAGAGATTTTGAGGGACTTGGACTACAGGATGCCAAAAAGATGAGAACATGCATGTCAGAATAAAAGGATGCTTAAAACTTCAACAGCCCCCTTTATAAACGGGAAAAACTGAGGCACCGAGACAAATGACTTTCCCACTGGAGCATGGTTTGTTGGTGGCTGATCCCCTGCTTCCCTGCTTTCTAGTCCATTGTTTTCTCCAGAGCTCAGAACTCCTTAGAATCCTGGCCCCAAAGAGAGGCAGGACAGCGGCACACAGCCTTTCACAGTGTGGAACTGTGAGGTAGCCTCTGGGTGATCCAAACTGTCAGCTGTTAACCAAAGATGAGAAGTTCAAGTTCATATAGACGTTTCTCAGAAGAACACTGTGGTGATCTATGTCAGAATAATCAGCCATTGGAAACTCTGTACACAGTTCTACTCTAGCACAGACAGGGTCACCAAGACTTGACTAAACAGCAGCTGGGTGGGTTAGTCTTTAACTACCTCTCTACTGCTTTCCCCGACTGCTCTTCCAGAAACGTCAAGCCACCAACTCTTTAGATTACTTTATTTCCCATAATAACACTTTTCATTAGCTGGCATTAGCTGGTATTTGGACATTTGTTGATGGTGTGTCACTTCACTAGAATGTAAGTCATCAAGGGTCAAGAGTGTTGATTTTATATCCATTTCTGATCCTCCAGAGTTAAGATTCAGTGCCTGGTACACGGCAGGTGTCCAGTACATTTTTATTAAGTGAATAAATGAATGGACACAAAATCAAATAAGACATAATCTCTGCCTTCAAGGAGCTCAGAGACTATTAGTAAGAAGAAACAAACAGATTTCCATGGTGAGGGCAGCTCTGGAACCACAAAGGAGTATCAGAGAGGGGCACCTGAGCCAGTCTGGTGCTGCAGGAGTAGGGTCAGGTGAGATTTTTTTGCAGGAGGTAGCAGGTAGTTGTCGTCTTTGGTAATGTAGACCCTCCTGAATCTTGGGTGAAGTGGTACTATGAAGGAAGGAATGAAAGAGCAACTAACTGAGGACTTTCCAGGGTTGCTGGAGGGGATGCTGTGATTCTAACCAATACATAGTGGAATTCAATTGTAAAAGTTAGAGCCACAGTCCAAATCCTCCCCAACTCTCAAGTCTTCTAAACCATCACAAATGGCACCTTCTCTGGATAGCTGCTTCTGAATGTCTCCTTCTCCTTCTCCCCCCTGAACTTCCTCCCCCCATTGGAGCTCTGAACACTGGGGAAGGCTGGCTTGGTCCCAGAATGGACCCTCACACCTCTCCTTGTCTCTCACAGGGCCTCACCAACCAGCGGGCTCAGGACATCTTGGCTCGGGATGGACCCAATGCCCTCACCCCACCACCCACAACCCCCGAATGGGTCAAGTTCTGTCGCCAGCTTTTTGGAGGCTTCTCTATCCTGCTGTGGATTGGGGCAATCCTTTGCTTCCTGGCCTATGGCATCCAGGCTGCCATGGAGGATGAACCATCCAATGACAATGTAAGGCCCACACTGATCCTGGACCAGCCCATGGCCCTGTCCTCCAGCCTTTAGCAACCGGTCCAGTGTATGCGGGGGTAGAAGAGCATGGGGCAAAGTTCCCTTATCTCAACCTCATAGTTCTTACACTTTAGGCTAAAAGGGTTAAGGTTCTGTACATCTCTATAAAGTACCAACACACATATACAATCAATGAGACTGCCTGTCACTTTTACCCTCCCAGTCAAATGTACTTGTCTCCAGCCTTCATCCTGCACCCCATAGAGAAGTGCTTACCCTTGGGAACTTCCTAAGGTTTCTTCTCTTGCTCCTGCCTTAGGAGACTGAAGTCTGAAACACTGAAGAGAGGGTGGAGGGAAAGACTTTACCATTTTCTCCTTCAGTCACACACAATAATCTGAGTTCTCAGCAAGATGGCAATGAATGTTCATCCTGGTGGCAGCTGCCCCTCTGGATTGAAAGCAGATCGGGCCCCTTAACCACCTTCTCTTCACCAGCTCTATCTGGGTGTAGTCTTGGCAGCTGTGGTCATCGTCACTGGCTGCTTCTCCTACTATCAGGAGGCCAAGAGCTCCAAGATCATGGATTCTTTCAAGAACATGGTGCCTCAGGTGAGTGACAGGGTGGTGGCGTATGGTTTCTGGGAGAGTCTAATTCATGCCTTCTCAATCCCCAAGCTCTGAGGTGGAGGCACAAAGCAGAAAAGGCCCTCCTGCTTCCCACACCAGGACCTATTGCTGCTAAGAGAGCAGAGTTTCTCTTTTTCTCTTGACTGGAGTGATAGGTGATAAGGAAGACCAACAAGAGAGGAAGTTGGAATGAAAATGAGCATGTAATGAGATTTCTGTGGCCTCCCTACAGCAAGCCCTCGTGGTGCGGGAGGGAGAGAAGATGCAGATCAACGCAGAGGAAGTGGTGGTGGGAGACCTTGTGGAAGTGAAGGGTGGCGACCGAGTCCCTGCTGACCTTCGAATCATCTCTTCTCACGGATGCAAGGTGAGGAGGCCATGTAGAGCCACCGGTTTGTTCTAAGAAGCTGGCTGGATTGAACTGAGAGAGGCCCAATCAGGGGCTTAACATTGGAGAAATCCAGGTCCTAAGTCAGTGTCTCCCTCTTAATCCCTTGGCTGAAGCTTCCCTCAGCATATGATGCATTATCTCCACGTATCTGCTTACATCTTATTAATTCTTTGTGCCTGGGTTATTTCTTTGATACCCACTTTATAGCCATTGTATATTGAGTCAGATTATATACATGTACATAGGCTGTTTAATTTAATTCATACAAGGCTATTGCACATGATTTGTGCATATAATTTGTGCACTGGACAACTCTTTGTTATTGTTGTTGTTGTTAGGTGCCATTTAGTTGAGTACAGCTCATAGCGACCCTCTGTGCCATCCTCATCACCCCTGACACACTTGAGCTCATTGCTGCAACTCTAGAGGTAACATTGGACAGCTCTATAAGGTGCTATTTTCATAAACAACAATATTAGTGGTGCCCACTATAGTTGTGCAACACAATTGCTTATGCCACAGCCCCCTGCCCCCACCCCATTTTACAGATTGCTTACTGTTGGTTAAGTAACTAGCTCAAGGTCACATAAGGAGTCAGTAGGAGCCAGCATTTCAAAACAGGGCAAATACCTGAGTAATGCTATAAATATGTGATGAGAGTGAGTGTAATTTTGTCCCTCGTGTCATGGAGCTTGAAAGTGCTGCTGGAGTCAGGAGACAGCTGTGGGCACGAGTGTGTCTGCCAGTCTGAGGACAACACATCTCTTCCTCCACAGGTGGATAACTCATCACTCACAGGCGAGTCAGAACCCCAGACCCGCTCCCCTGAGTTTACCCATGAGAACCCCCTGGAGACGCGGAATATCTGTTTCTTCTCCACCAACTGTGTTGAAGGTGAGAAGTTGGCCTCCTAGCAGAATACCTCATCCTAGCATCAACTAAGGGGGGAATCTGTGTCCTGATTCTCCAGTTAGGAGTGAGGACTTGGGTAGTTTTTATTCAGCAACATCCTACTATAGGTGAGATAATTCAGGTATTAGAGACTCTTGAATATTACAGAAACAGCCAACACACACACACACACACACACACACACACACACACACGAATAATACCTCCACTGATGGGGCAGGAGGGAGGGAAACAACTCTGTGGAAAAGTTATTTCCCCACAGGCCAAACTCCACCTCTGTCCACCCCATGACTATGTGGATATGAAGCTAAAGGTATAGGGCCAACTGCCAGCCCCTACACATACACACAGTTGCCCCAAGCCAACCCTGACTCCTGGGAGTCTCTTGGTCTGACCCATGGCCTCCATTCTTCCTAGTTCTGGAGCTGGTGACTTCCTTCCTCAACCCTCGCTGTGACCTGGGGCTAGGGAGCGGGGAGTCAAAAGGGCTCTCAGGCCAGGTGGACACTTGACCCTCCTCTAGGCTGTATCTAGTCTTATGCTGCACCAGAAGGAACTATCCTTCACACCCAGGCTGTCCAGTGAGTCCCAGCCCTGTCATGGGTGAATAAAGGCCGAGAGCCCTCAGAGCTGTCATTACTCATGACTAGAGCCCAAGCTCAGCTGAACCCGTGATCTGTGGTCATGTCAGTGAGCTGGATTGGAGCAAGTTCCGACGAGTAAGAAAACACAGAGTTGGGAGCAAGGACTGTTCGACACACCTTTCCCTCCCTTTACTCATTTCTGCATCCTGTGCTGCTTTGGGCTATTTCCCCCTTCAGCAAGTTGGAAAATCACCACACATTAAATTTCCTAAATTTTTAATGTACTGGGATTCTAAAATTTACTCTGTATTTCTCACAACTGCTTCGTAGAATATCCTCAATCCTTAACACTGAAATGGGCTTTGAAAACTGAGAGGAGGGAAAGTTGGCAGAACTAACATTAGTTTAGTACCCACTATATACAAAGCACTGGTCGAGGTATATTATACTACTATCTCATCTCACTACTAAAACAGCCTGTAGGTATAAATTCAAACAAGGATTCAAACCTACGTTCAGCTGACTTCAATTTTCTTCCTGTAATGTTTACTGCAGGATAAATAATTGCTTAGCTTCTTCTTTATATTCATGCTTAATGTTGAGAAAGGAAATATTAGGACTGTCTGGAATATCCATAATGAGTGGTGTATTTTGTGTTCACAATATACTTGTGGGTCACAGTAAGCATAAGATTTATGACACTGAAGGCACAGGCAATAGTTTTACTTTTCTTATTCAATCTCTTGACTGAACTTAGGATTATTTGCAAACCTTCTTCTCTGGATCATGTAGAAGAGAAAAATAATATTTGTTATATTGGACCATGGATTGGTAAAATCTCTATCCAGGGAGTATACGCCCAAGTGAGGTTCAGTCTACTGAACGTGACGTTCGAGATCTGTATCCACGGCCCATTGACTCTGATGGTTTTCCTTGCTTGAGAAGCATAAGGGGACGTCAGTCTCTGGGAGCTCAAGGTCCTCAGCCTGGTGTCCCCCTTCTGTGTTGCAGGCACGGCCAGGGGCATTGTGATCGCCACAGGTGACCGGACGGTGATGGGTCGCATAGCCACTCTGGCCTCAGGCCTGGAGGTTGGGCGGACGCCAATCGCCATGGAGATCGAACACTTCATTCAGCTCATCACAGGCGTGGCCGTGTTCCTGGGAGTCTCCTTCTTTGTGCTCTCCCTCATCCTGGGCTACAGCTGGCTGGAAGCCGTCATCTTCCTCATCGGCATCATTGTGGCCAACGTGCCTGAGGGCCTGCTGGCCACCGTCACTGTGAGTGAGCAGGCTGGTGTGTCCAGCAGGCTGGCGACCCTCTCCTAAACACGACCTAGGCATAGTTGCTTCTTGTTTCCCACCAAGTTTTTCCTTCTAACTCCTAAGCTCACATAGAAGATTCTTTACTCATAGCTGATTTCACATGTGCAAATTTCAAGTTGGGCTCAATTTCTGGAGCCTATAATCTTTGTAACAAACCCACTCCTTACCAGCCAGTCAGAACCAGCACATAGCTGACCCTCCAGCAGGCTTTTGGGTGGCTGTACATGTCACAGGAGGAGGTTGCCCGTCTTTCTCCTGCGGAGCTGCTGGTGGAGTCTGGTTCCCAGAGAGGCGTCCCCTTTCCATTAACCATGCAGTTCCCTGTGAACTCCCTTAGAGCTCCCTATTTTCATAGTGTCCTCTTCTCACCACCCATGGACCCATCTCTCTGCAGTGGGGCACTCATCCCTGCCAACCTTCCCATAAAGCCTCTCTCAAAGGTCACCTATGACTAACCAGCAAATCCAGTGGCCTTTCTGTAATCCCATCTTTAGTGCCGCTATTGAAATCAATACTGTTGTCCACCCTCCTAGAACCCTCTTCTTTGCCGGCATCTGTGACATTTCACCACCCTCCTCTGTCTCCTAGAGCATCTCCTCCTTCTCCCCCACACTGTTGCTCTTGCCTCAGCTTTCTGCCTTTCTCCTCACACCTCCTGGTGTGAACTCATCTCCTCCCACAGCCTCCAGCGCCCCTGCTGTGTGACTCCCACATCCCCATGCTCTACTCTGCTTCTCTAGAGTACTCGCCAAGTAACGTCAACTCCCCACTGGAAATTTTCACTTTACTATATACATGCAATTTCACTTTGACATGTCTAAAATGGAGCGTATTCATGGGTCACAGCTAGCTCCCACCCACTCATATTTGTGGAATAGAATCCTGGGAGGAGAGGCAGAGCTCACGGTCTGGTTCAGGTCATGAGCTTCACCTTTGTCTCCTCTCTCCCTCTCTGTCTCTCTCAGGTGTGTCTGACCCTGACAGCCAAGCGCATGGCAAGGAAGAACTGCCTGGTGAAGAACCTGGAGGCCGTGGAGACACTGGGCTCCACCTCCACCATCTGCTCTGACAAGACGGGCACCCTCACCCAGAACCGCATGACCGTTGCCCACATGTGGTTTGACAACCAGATCCATGAAGCTGACACCACAGAGGACCAGTCTGGTGATTGATTGCTCCATGCTGGAGTACAAGGGGTTGGAGGGGGCTCAATAGTTTAACACGGTTGTTGTTGTTGTTGTTGCTTGCCTTCTAGTCAAGCACAACTCATAGCAACCCTCTGAACAAAAGGCCTGAAGCCCCTCTACAACTATCAACATTTATCAAAGTTCATAGAGTTTCCGGAGGCATGTTATTTAGGAAGTGGATGCCACTCCTGCTTCCAAATCTGTCATAGTATGTTATAGTTTAACTAAAGACCTGTTAAATTGAGATCATGAGTACATCCCAAACTCACACTCATTGCCACCGCATCAATTCTGGTTCCTAGTTGAGCATATAAAACAGAATAGAACCACTGAGTTCCAAACAGTAAGATTTCCAGGGCTGTAAATCTTTATAGCAGCAGATTGCCCTATCTTTTACCCCTGGTGGGTCCAAATCACTAACATTTTGGTTATCACTCAATTGCCTCACCACTGTACTACCAGGACTTCTCACGGGTGTAGGAACCAAAGCCAACCCACTGCTGGTGAGTCAGACCCAACTCATGGTGACCCTCTGTTGTGTTTCTGAGGCTGTGAATCTCGGCAGGAGAAGATGACTCATAGTGATCCTCTGAACGAAAGACCTGAACACTTGTATAACTTTCATCATTTCTCCATGTTCATAGAGTTTCTGGAGGCAAGCTGTTTGGTTATCAGCCAGCTGTTTGGTTAACAGTCAGATAAATATATTGCACACGTGCCACCAACGCTCCCTCATGGTATATAGTAAGGGGAAAATGTCTCATGGAGAACTGAAGATATTTGCGTAGAACCCTAGAAAGAACCACGGTAGAGCTATGTGTGAAGGCCCTGAGATGGCAGGCTGAGTAGAGATGAAATAAGCGCTCCGAAGAGGACGCAATAATATCCTGCTTCTTCCTCACAGGGGCCACTTTTGACAAGCGATCGCCCACATGGACAGCCCTGTCTCGGATCGCTGGTCTCTGCAATCGTGCCGTCTTCAAGGCTGGTCAGGAGAACATCTCTGTATCAAAGGTAGAAGCCAGAACACGCAACAGCTGTGTCTCTAGGGTGCCTCCAATGCCTGCCCAGCTCCCCCTGTTGCACGCTGCGGCTGCGTCAGAGACTGCAGGACCTGCCTGGTCCTCCATCCATCCTCTGCCCTGCTGTAACACTGGGCTCTCTTTCGACAGAGAGACACTGCTGGCGACGCCTCTGAGTCAGCTCTACTCAAGTGCATCGAGCTGTCCTGTGGCTCAGTGAGGAAGATGAGGGAGAGGAACCCCAAGGTGGCGGAGATTCCTTTCAACTCTACCAACAAGTACCAGGTCTGGCTGGAACACCAAGACAGGAGAAGGGATGGGCAGGAAAGGGGAGCTAGGCAAGGACAAGGAGGAATTAGTGATAGAAGCGGGAACTTGTAAGGGCCCTTGCCTCACCCTCAGGGCCACCTATGACTACAGGTCCGATTGCCTCTTATCCACCTAACTTCCAAACCAACCTCCATTCCTTACTAAAACCTATCACTCATCAACCCTCCACAGCTCTCAATTTTAACCATTCAATCCTCCCAATGCAGTCAGCTGAACCATACGTCTGTCATTTTCTTATGGTCTCTTTCAGCCTTTAGGTATTCGTGAAATACTAAGAATGTGGTCTCAACCACTTTCTGTGTAAGCCAGAAAGGTAAAGAGAGATAAGGGCAAGTACATTAGGGATGGACACCTGTGAGTCCTCTAACCCTGAGCCCAGGGCCTGCTTCTTAACTGATCTTAGCAAATTCTTGTAGAATAAATGAAGGTTCTCAGGAAAGAGGCCTTTCAGGTTACACGAGTTGGGACTCCAAGGTTCAGATAGCCCTCCACACATGGAGATTCTCTCTGGGTTGGTATCTTTGATAGACCAGTGTTATGTTATTAGGGGGGACTTTCTTATCAGACACTGCTCTCTATCAGGCCCTATGTGGGGCAGTGGGGCTACTGAACAAATACGGCACCTCTGTAACAGTTCGTCCTCTCTCCAGCTGTCCATCCATGAACGAGAAGACAGTCCCCAGAGCCACGTCCTGGTGATGAAAGGGGCCCCAGAGCGCATCCTGGACCGGTGCTCCTCGATCCTGGTGCAGGGCAAGGAGATCCCACTGGATAAGGAGATGCAAGACGCCTTTCAAAATGCCTACATGGAACTGGGAGGACTTGGGGAGCGTGTGCTGGGTGAGTGGCCAGAATCAGGGGAGCAGGGCTGAGGATGGGGCTCTTATGACTCAGTAGCTCATCCACAGGTTGAGAGATTCTGGGAGCACCCAAGCAGCCGCTGCTCTTCCTTCACCCCTTCCCCCTGCCTCCTACCAGGGTTCTGTCATCTGAATCTGCCCTCTGGAAAGTTTCCTCGAGGCTTCAAATTCGACACAGATGAGCTGAACTTCCCCACGGAGAAGCTCTGCTTTGTGGGCCTCATGTCTATGATTGACCCTCCCCGGGCCGCAGTGCCAGATGCAGTGGGCAAGTGCCGGAGTGCAGGGATCAAGGTACAGGGTCCCTCCCTCCCACTCTCCTTCATGCCAAAGACCAACCACCTGCAGGGGCAGCTGCCCTGAGGAGACACAGGCCACTGGTGGCTTCCTTCCTTCTGACTAAGATGCAAAACTCCATCTATGGGGGGTGGGGGTGGGGGTGGGGGTTGAACTTATGCCTGGAGCACCCAGCCCTCATGTTCACGATGACCAGTTTCCAATGCCCATCCTGTCCCTCCCTGGCACGGCTAATTGTCCATCTGTGTCTGAGCCCTACATTCGGATTTCAAGAACGAGCTGGCATGCCTATCTGAGAGAACTACACGCGACTATGCTTGCCAACTGCTGCCCACTCTGTCTTGCCATTTGGGTAGGATTAGAAGGCTCAGGAGTGCCCTCACGGACTCCCTCTACAGCCCAGCAGGCTGGCTGGCTTCAGTCCCCATCCCACTCAGGCACGCCTCTCCTGGCTTCTCCTGCCTCCCAGCAATTGCTTCTCCCTGACCACTTTCCCCTCTGCACTATGGTTATTCTTCATCCCAAAATATTTCTTGTTTACCAACTAACAGTGTGCCAGGTGCTGAGCAGAGTGATGGAGCTCAACAAAGAAATAAGCAGCAAAAGTTCTGCTTTAGAATTCCCCCCTTCCCTAGTTTTCCATTTTAAAAATAAGACTTTCTTCAATTTCCCCTGGTGGCATCACTCGCTCTTCTGTTTTCAGTTATTTCACTTATTATTAAATCAGCGAGTCTACTGAAAGGGAGCTTCTGGTAGCCTAGTGGGTAAGGAGCTGCGCTGCCAACCCAAAGCCGGGTAGTTTCAATCCACCAGCAGCAGCTCCTTGAAAGAAAGATGGGCAATTCTCCTCCTGTGAGACTTAGAGCCTCTGAATATCCACTGGAGGGTCAGCTGTGAGTCCGTTCCGACTTGACAGCACACAACAGCAGCAGCCTATCGAAGGCCACGTAGTATTTGGAGACAGAGAGTAAGCACAGTGACCTCCAGAGCTTGCGATTTCAAAAGGGAAATCGATGCCTTTACAATTAATCACAGTGAAATTGTAACAGTGACAACCTTTGAGCACCTACTATGAGCTAATGTCTTTTGAGGCGTTCAGGTGGCCTGGCTGTAGGAAGCCGCGCTGCAATCCTGAAGGCACATGGTGTGAATCCACCAGCTGCTCCTCAGGAGAAAGAAGGACAATCCCCTTCCAGTGCCTTACTGTCCCTGAAAACCTGCCGAAGGGACAGCCCTGGGTTGATTCTGACTCGACAGCACACAGCAACAACAATGTCTTTGGAGCTTTCGTATGAACAGGACACTATTCTGAGAATTAAACCTGTATGCTCTTGTTTAATCTTTCACAACCATTCTAATGCCATAAGCATTAGTATTTATCTTTTTTTTTTTAGAGAGAAACTGAGGCACAAAACAACATACCTTAGGTTACACAGTAAGGAGAGGTAAAATCTGAAGCCAAGTAATCTAGTCTGTCTTAACCACCACACCAGGTAACTTGGTGCTTTGTATATATGGTGGCATGGCTTTTGGATCCTGTAACAGCTCTTTTGAGAAGGTAAAATACTCTGAGATTCAGAAAGAGTGGGAAACTTTCCCCAAATAAAACTACCAGTAAGAAGTGAATTGAGAATGTGAAACCTGGTCAGCTCGAGTGAGAAGCCCCAAGTACTTACTGCTCCACCAGCTGCTTCTCACTGTGACTAGTGTGATCACAGAGCCACGTGCAGGACACCGCTGTGGGGCTCAGAGCAGAGAGCAGTTAATTCTGTCCCCGGGAACTGGACAGAGTTTTAGTAGGAGTATGATATCTGATCTGGGCCTTGAAGGTTGGAGAAAACTTTGTAAAGTGGGGAGGGAGAGGGAGGTATATCAAGATGAGGGAACAATGTGAACCCTGGCGTGGCTGGGTACGTGTGTATTGGTTGGGGGAGAGGTGGCAAAGGAGCCCTGGGGATTGAGATTGGAATGTTGGGTCAGGGCCACTTGGAAGGACTTTGCTTTCATGCCAACTTGAGTTTTGTTCTACCGTCCCCAGAGAATCACAGGTGTTCCCAGGCAGATTTTTGTTTCCAGGAGGCTACATACATGGAGTAGCAACAGGATTTGAAAAAGAACTGAAGTCAGAGAGATAGGAGAAGGGTCCATTGCAATAGTCCAGGCAAAGAAGGATGACCTGAGTGAAGGCAGCAGCAAAAAGAGTAGAGAGGAGTTGTTATCTGAGAAATGTTTTGAGAACTTAGTGAGCAGAACTGTATATGGGAGGCGAGGAAGAGATATGAGACAAAGTGGCAGAGTGAATAGAGAGGTTAGTATCTGAGGTAGGGAGTAGATGAGGAGGCGTGGTGGTGGGAGTGTTGGGAGAGGAGATGATGAGTTCACTGTTGACCTTCAGATTGAAGGCACCACGGGAAAGCTGGAATAGGTTTGCAAGGAAGAAAAAGAAAAGGGAGTCAAGACTGGAGTTCAGTGAATATTATTTGCATGTGAGTGCAAATTAAAGACTTAAGGGGATAGTTTACCATATTTCCAAGGAAGAGAGCACAGGGCAAGAGAAGGGATGAGAATTAAACCTGGGTCACATGCTGTTTGGGAGCAAGTGGAGAAAGGGGAACCAATGAAGCAGGAGGAGGGTGAGAGACACAGCTAAAGTTTACTGAGCTACCATCTAATCTTCATTGCTTTTAATCTTCATGACAACTTGGAAAAACAGGAATCATTTTTCCGTTGTGCTGAGACTCAGAGGCTCATCGAAGATCCTATATCTGGGAAGCAGTAGGTCAGTGTTTAAACTCACATCTGACCCCAAAGCCAGGGGTTTTCTCCCTCTTACTAAGCTGCTACCTTGAGAAGGCTGGGAAAGAGGATGCAGAAGGGGATGGAGAACCCAGAACAAAAGAGCGCATGGAAGCCAAAGGCGGGGAGAGCTTCAACGAGGGGCGCTTATTAATATCAAATGCTGCAGAGCAGTCAAGCGGGATCATAAGGAGGGCAAGCAGGCCTGGTTTTCAGTTGAGAGGCCCATGTGACTTTCAGAGAGCTGGTTTAAGTGGAGTGCTAGGGATGAGAGAGAGGCCAGGGGGCCTGAAAGGTCAGCTTTGTGCCACAAACCCATATATGCAAAGGTTATACTACTCTGTTTTGATTGCATGTGCTCATAATAGTCTCTCAGATGCCAACTCTCCTCCCCATCCCAATCCCATCCATCCTGCACCAGTAGCAAAGAACAATGTGTTAGAGTTAAGGTGAAAAGCATTACCTTCTTCCAACATCATGGAGGGATGTCACAGGCCGATGAGCAAGGTGAGTGGGAGGCCGCAGTGGGCTGTCTCCATCTGATCCCTACTCTGCCCTGTGAGACTCCCACAGAAAATACACCAAATGCTAAGGAGACCAGCAGCCTTCATTCTGAGCCCCAGTGACTTGGAGCAAATCACAGACCTTCTTTAAACCCTGTTTTCACCTATCACAAGAGGGAGTTATTAGGATCCTTCCATTTCTGATGGCTTAGTGTTTCATGAAATCCAAACACCTGGAGTCTTCAAATCGCTCCCGAAGCACTGTCACTATTCTGTTAAGGCTGATTTTCTCCATGTAAGGAAACTCTCTAGTTTCCTAAACATGATTTGTCATTGTCTTCCTGCCCACTCCCATATGCACACACCCTCAAGAGCACACACATGCACTTACACAAGCACGAACAGTATGGTTTTCCCCTTAGGTGATCATGGTGACTGGGGATCATCCTATCACAGCCAAAGCCATTGCCAAAGGTGTGGGCATTATATCCGAGGGCAACGAGACTGTGGAGGACATTGCGGCCAGACTCAACATCCCTGTGAGTCAAGTCAACCCCAGGTGAGACCTTTGCTGGAGTCCCCTGCCCCCTTGTCAACCCTCCTCCTCCACAGACTACTTTGGAGACCGTCCCTGAGAAGTTCACAAGCCTTATTTCTAGCCCCTCACTTGCTGGTCTCCAAGTCCTGAATTTGTTCCAAGAATGTAGTTGTGTGGTGACCTTGTTTGATTTTACTTATATCTGAGCCTCTGGATTTTTTGTTTCAACTAGATTATGATAACAACTACATTGCAGGAGTGCTATAGAAGCAAGATACGTACTTGTGAATATGATGATGCCACATGGTGAAGATTTAGTGTTACTACCTCAAAAAGGAGAGAGAGAGAGAACAATAGGTCCCTGAGAAGTGAGGTGGGTGGTGGGGAATGAGGATTGAAGAAAAGGGAGCTCTGGCGGCCTGGTGGCAAGAAGCTGCTCTGCAATCCCGAAGGCACGCAGTTTGAGGCCACCAGCTGTTCCACGGGAGGATGGGCAATCTCCTCCACTATGGGTCAGTTCCCACTCTGCAGTACACGACAACAACAATAACCTAAAAAAAAAAGAGAAAGAGGGGAGCTCTGGTGGCCTAGTGGCAAGAAGCTGTACTGCAATCCCAGAGGTACATGGTTCAAATCCACCAGATGCTCTGCCAGAGAAAGAGGGACAGTTTCCTCCTGTACCAGTCAGATCTGATTTGATGGTACATGCACAAAAAATAATAATGAGAGAGAGAGAGAAAGCAGATCACTGAGAATTAGGGTGGATGGTGAATGAGGAATGAGGCAATAGGGAACTTCATCAGCAGGGAGATGAAGATGCCAAGGTGATGAGGAGAGGGGGCAGGACTGACCCATGAAACAAGGAGTCCAAATCCCGGTCATTTCCCAGAGAAGCCAAGGCGTGCGTGGTGCACGGCTCTGATCTGAAGGACATGACATCCGAGCAGCTCGATGAGATCCTCAAGAACCACACAGAGATCGTGTTTGCCAGGACCTCCCCTCAGCAGAAGCTCATCATCGTGGAGGGATGTCAGAGGCAGGTGAGCGAGAGGGGGCTATAGAGAACTGGGGTGTGCCATGGGTGAGCAGAGTGAAGGGCAGGGACTCGGGAGGAGAAGCAGGGTGGAGAATGAACATGGGCAAGGCGCTGGGGCGTGGGGAGCCTTCTCCTCAAGCTCTGGCTGTGTCTTCTCCTAAGGGCGCCATCGTGGCAGTGACCGGTGACGGGGTGAACGACTCCCCCGCGCTGAAGAAGGCCGACATTGGCATCGCCATGGGCATCTCTGGCTCCGACGTGTCTAAGCAGGCAGCAGACATGATCCTGTTGGATGACAACTTTGCCTCCATCGTCACGGGCGTGGAGGAGGGTGGGTGAGGAAGCTACAAGGCAGGACGGCATCCAGAATGCCTGAAGGCCAGCACAACTGCTTCCCTTGTCTATTTTACCCCAACCAAAGGGTCAAGCATTCCAGGTGTCCACAGCTTTGCCCCCTAAAAAAGGTTGCCATTGTGTTGATTCCAACTCAAACGCTGTGTCAGAGTAAAGCCATGCACCGTAGAGTCTCCAATGGCTCATTTTTCTAAAGCAGATAATCAAGGCTTTTTTAAAAAAAATTAATTTTAATGAAAGTTTACAGAGACTTAAGGTTTCCAGTCATTCCTTGTTGCACTTTTTTCCCTGCCTACCCCCTCCCCCACAATTCACTCTTCTCCTTGATGAGTAAAAGAAAAACTCTTTCATTGCTGTGCAAGCCCTCCCCTCAAGTCCACTGCACTGTGCAGCCTAACATGACAATAATACCCAATCATATATCCCTTTTAAACAGTTCTCTCCCTCATCTGTTGCAATGCAATATACATCATTCCTCCCCTTCTCGGTCTTCCCTCAACCCTGATGTCAGTCCTGTTTTACAATAGTGGCCCTATGCAATATTTGTCCATTTGTGATTGAGATATTTCACTCAGCATAATGTCTTCTAGGGTCATCCACTTACCTTAATATTTCATGAGTTCCTTGTTTTTTCAGTGCTGTATAGTATTCCACTGTGTGAATATACCAGAGCTGCTCTATCCATTCATTTGTTAACTGGCATTTTGGTTGTTTATAGCTCTTTACTATTGCGAACAAAGCCTGCCTCTAGATAGACTTGAACTATTGTCCTTTTGGTTAGCCGCTGTCCTCATTAACCATTTGCACTACCCAGGGACTCCAAAGTTTTCTTGGTTCCTGTTAGGTACTGTCAAGGCGGAACTGACTCATAGCTGACCCCCCAGCTGGTTTTCAGGGGCAGTAAATCACATAGGAGGGAATTACTCATCTTTCCCACTCGGAGAAGTTAGTGGATTTGAACCATATGTCTTTGGGTTGGCAGCACGACTCCTTATCACTAGGCCACCAGAACTAAAGCCCGCTTTACTTTACAGTTGACCATCTGGCAGGTTTCCAGAGGCAGTTAATTGCACAGGAGGAGATCGCCCATCCTTCTCCCTCGGAGTGCCTGGTGGCCTCGAACCACATGCCTTCAGGATTGCAGCTCAGCTTCTTGCCACTGGGCCACCAGCTTCCCTCAAACATAATAGTTGTCTTCTCTCAGGAAACTAGGCAGCCACACTCCACTATTAGGGGTGGGGGAAGGTCCCTCTAATCCCTCTGATACCCTCAGGACCTCCCCACAGGCCGCCTGATCTTTGACAACCTGAAGAAATCCATCGCCTACACCCTGACCAGCAACATCCCTGAGATCACGCCCTTCCTGCTCTTCATCATCGCCAACATCCCGCTCCCTCTGGGCACCGTGACCATCCTCTGCATCGACCTGGGCACAGACATGGTGAGGCAGCCACTGAGGGAGGATGGCTGGGCAGCCCCATGGGTGAAGAGGGTAGACATGGGCACCAGGCAGGAGGAGAGCTGCACTGGGAGCAGCTGACCAGCCTGAGTGAACTGCAAGGCTTGGATGGCGACACGTTTGTTGTGTCCAAGAACCTTCACTGCTGTTTTTTCCCTCTTGCCATCTCCCATATCCCTTCAATGCCCTCTACCTTGTCTCCTTACTCTGCCCCAATACAGGTCCCTGCCATCTCCCTGGCCTATGAGGCAGCTGAAAGTGACATCATGAAGCGACAGCCCAGAAACCCACAGACAGACAAGCTGGTGAATGAGAGGCTCATCAGCATGGCCTACGGACAGATCGGTGAGGCCAAACACTGAGCTTGGGGGGAGTTTCCAAGAGGATCTTTTCCAAAACTTCTGAAGGAGAAACCTCGAGCAAATTTCCAGAATGGAGCTAGCTCTGCAGGAGTCAGAGAGTTTCCTGTCTGGTCCGAGGAGGCTGGCGCTTCCTGCTTCCTTCTCTAATCCAGCCCCTGTCTGATGCCCATTACCCGCAGGGATGATCCAGGCTCTGGGTGGCTTCTTCACCTACTTCGTGATCCTGGCTGAGAATGGTTTCCTGCCGTCACGGCTGCTGGGAATCCGGCTGGATTGGGATGACCGGTCCAGGAATGACCTGGAGGACAGTTATGGACAGGAGTGGGTGAGTGGGGCCTGGTGCATGCAGGCACACAGGTTCAGAGTGAGGGAGGGGGCTACGCACCAGGCAGGAGTGGGCAGGAATGCCCAAATGGACTGGATGTGGAATGAGTGCCCAGGGTTTAAACAACTCTTGTTGGGGTGTGTTCCTCTCTCGTGCCGCCTTTTCCCCTAACGCTCTTCTCTCCTCTCAACCTGCCCACCCCAGACCTACGAGCAGCGGAAGGTGGTGGAGTTCACGTGCCACACGGCCTTCTTTGCCAGCATCGTGGTTGTGCAGTGGGCTGACCTCATCATCTGCAAGACCCGCCGCAACTCAGTCTTCCAGCAGGGCATGAAGTGAGCTCCCCAGCCCCAGTGGGCACTCATCCTCCCAGGCCGAGCACCCTGGGCACACTCACTGATCCGTAAAGCCAATAGGGGCCCTCTCAACCCTGTGAGCCTAGATCCGCCTGCACAAGGCGTTAGATTTTAATTACCCAATCACATCTCCACCTATACGCATCGGAGCATCCGTGGCTCGTTGGTAGAATTCTTGCCCTCCAAGTGGGAGATCCGGGTTTGATTCCCGGCCAGTGCACTTTATACACAGTCACCACCAATATGTGAGTGATGAATGACCTGAAAGGTTCCGCTGAAGCTTCTTGACAGAAAAGACTGACAAGAAAGGCCTGGTGGGTAACTTACTGCCAAATATCAGCCGCATGTGGGTTACAGTGATGTGAGTGGCGGCTAATCTTGGGGACGGAGCAGAATAGGGCAGTGCTGTTCTGTTGTGCATGAGGTCATCGTGAATTAGGGGCTCCTGCAACCACAGCAAACAACACATCATCTCCACAGCTGAGTAGGAAATGGACCACAGATGAGCACGAAGTGTAGCCATATACTTCACCAAACATAAGAGTGGTTCTTATGTTTTGATTTTGCTTCTAAAGTGGACTGTCCTACGGTCCCTTCCATCCTCCTTCCTTTTCATCTTTTCTATACTGTTGGTTTTTTTTTAATTTCTCTTTCTCTAATATTCACACTTGTGCCACCTCCTCCCACCCACTGCCTGGTCCTAAATCCAGGATGTGCTGGGCTCTCCCACATTCAGTAGACAACTCCACTGCATAGCACTTGGCCTGTGGTGGCTGCTAACCTAAAGGTTGATAATTTCAACCTACGAGATACTTTTAGGAAGCTGTGTTGGCTTAGTGCCAAGGAACTGTGCTGCCAGTCCAAAGGCATGTGATTCAAATCCACCAGCTGCTCCATGGGAGAAGGATGGGTGAGCTCCCCCCATATAATTTATAGCCACTGATAACCCACTGGAGGGTCAGTTATGGGGACCCTCCTCAGGAAAGGATGAGACAGTCTCCTTCCTGTCAAGGTCTACAGCCTTAGAAGCCCTATGGGACAGTTTGGCGGGATCTCTGTGAGTCAGGGTCAATCCGCTGGCAGTGGGAGTGGTTTTGACACCAGGAAAGGGAGTTGAGTTCTAAAATGTTCTCTTTGTTTTCTTCTACCATAAACCAAAGGCCCCCCCAGTGAATTTTAAGTCATGTCTTACTTATGTAGCAAAGGAAGAAGAAGCAGCCAAAATCCTAATGAAGTTAATAATAACATTCAAGTTTCCAGGGAGAGGAAAGTGAAAATCTGTTTGATTAGAGAAAAGTATAATGAAGAAGGTTCCAGTAAGTTAAAAATACTGATGCAGAAAATTCTGTTAGAAGCAAATATAGAGCAAAGGGCTGAAAGAAGCTGAGTGCATTTCTGGGGTCTGGGGCTTACTGTGCATCACAAGAGCCACAGAGGACTGGGAGCATACAAAGTGACTAAATGCAGCCATCTGGGTGCAGAGAGGAGACCCTCAGACACACTCCTCGCCAGCCAGAAAACACCTTGGAGCCCCTCGGGCCCACCCCCTGGGGTCCTGAGAGATACTGTTTGCATTATTTCAAAAAGCTTTGTGAAAATGAAGCCTTTGCCTATGAGAAGGCTCCATGGCATTCTAAAATGTCATGACTCTGCGATAAACACAAAGGAAATCTATCAAGTAGCAGATGAGTGCTTGCTAGTACACAGCTCTATTTGGAAATTACATGTGTTTCAGGTTAACTTTAAATGAGAAGATATAGTTCATTGCTTATTTTTAAACACGGCCTTGATAGATGAAAAATAACAGCAGCTTTTACTGAGTGAAAAGTTTGGGGACCCCTTAGTTAAGTAACAAAGAAATAGATACAGGACCTAGAAATGCCTTTGGTAATACAGCATATACAAAATTACAGAGAGATACAGTATGTAGGAATGCTTTTTGGAAAGTGACTGGGCCCTTTCCATGGTCAAGTACTTTTCGTACTTTATCTCCTATCATTTTCCCTAAAGCCCTATGCTAGCAATTCTGATATGTTGTTAGATGTCACTGAATCAACTAGAACTCATAGCAACACTGTGAATAACAGATAAGAAACGTGGACCACCCTGCACCATCCTCATGACCTCTGCCCTGCTCAAGCCCATGGTTGCAGTCACTCTGCCGACCCATCTTGTTAAGTCTTCCTCTTTTGTGACGATCCTCTATATTTCCCAGCATCGTGTCTTTTCCCAAGGACTGACATCTCCTGACAACATGCAAAGCTTCACACCTTGCCTTTAACAAGCACACTGGTTGCGCAGTGCACCTGTATTTCAGGTCATACTATATAGAGTTTCCCCCCACATGAAGTAGTTCATGAACATCTTCATCTTTATTGTATACATGCAAAGAACAACTGCTGAGGACGATAGGAGACACTGGGGAAGGGGAAGGCATGCATGGGCCCTGCAGTGAAGGCACACAGGCAGATGCACTTGGGCAGCTCACGTGCCTTGAGTAAGAGCAAGAGTATAAATGGCATGAAGCCAAGCCTTTGGCTGGTGGCAGGTGCATGAATCAGATCAGAAGCAAGTTACCTAATGAATGAATACATGGGATTTAGACAATAATTGGGAGGAAAAATTGGTCAACAGAAAGCAGAAAAAGTAAATAAATCTTTATATCCCCTTGAGAAAATGACATTTGAAGAGAACATGGAACTTCTCATTCTCTTCCACCACCAGTGCTCTCCCTGGATGGTGCTCAGTCAGCCCACAAGTGCTAACACCAGGTGCCATCATGTCCATTTGGACTCAGGACGACACCATGCATGTCACAGCAGGACTCGGCTCCATGGAGTTTCAGGAGCTCATATTTTGGGAAGCAGATCACCAGGCCTTTCTTAAAATGTCTCAGAGTAAATTTGAGACACTTACCTATTTGCACCACCCAGAGACTCCCTCAAATGCTACCCCTTTCTTTCCCTGCCTTCCCAGGAACAAGATCCTGATCTTTGGGCTCCTGGAGGAGACAGCGCTGGCTGCCTTCCTGTCTTACTGCCCTGGCATGGGAGTGGCCCTCCGCATGTACCCGCTCAAGTGAGTGTCTATCTAGAAAGGGACCCGAGCGAGTAGCACAAAGAGAGTGGGAGCCCCTTTGTTGGACCCATGTTCTGGTCTGTTTGCTCAAGTCCTTCGTGATTCGTCTACCATGTCATTCTCAGATGACACTCTTCTTCCCGGTGTCTTTCAGGGTCACTTGGTGGTTCTGCGCCTTCCCCTACAGTCTCCTCATCTTCATCTATGATGAGGTCCGGAAGCTCATCCTGCGACGATATCCTGGTGGTAAGCATTTTCATAGCCACCCTGGCCCCCAGCAAAGCTCAGCCCCCTCTGCCAGCTGCCTCCTCCGGAGCTTCACACCCACACACCAGTCCCGCTACGATCCCGGCTCCTGTTCCTTGTCGCTTTAAAATCCTGGAATTCAAAGTCCTAGAAGTCCTGAGTCATGGAGCCTGTCCTTCCTGACCTCTTCAGCTCCAACTCTAAGCCCCCTAACTCACAATAGACCTCCCCCCAAAACACTCAACCTCCGTCATCTATGAATCGTAGAACATCAGAACTAGAAAGGTCCTTTGAGAACATCTAATCCAACCCCGACATCTACAAATAAAGAAAAGTGGGTCATAAGGCAAGTAAGTAGCAGAACTAGGCCCAGAGCCCCAGTCTCCAGAGTCCCGGTGTTTATTTGTTTGTTTTTCCTTAAGTTTTTTTTTCTTCTTTTTTCTTCATCACTTATGAAAGGTTGAAAAGAGATGGTCTGCAAACCAAATACGATCCATGGGTAATATTTGGTTTGACTCCCAATATTTTTAGTGGGTTCTTCCCATCTGCTGGCCCAATTGTCCCAGCACGTATAGCTTGGGAGTAAATCACATAAAAGCTAAATTCCTGACAAGTCTTGAAAATCTAAGGGAGCTCTCATCACCTAGTGGGTAAGGGGTTACACTGCCAACCTAAAGGCAGGCAGTTCAAACCCACCAGCTCCTCTAAGGGGAGAAAGTTGGGGAAATACCCTTCCATGTGATTTACAACCTCTGAAAACCTGCTGGAGGGCCAGCTATGGGTCAGTTCTGACTTGACAACACATAACGACAACAATCTGAAAAGTCAGAAGAGCTGCCAACCCCATGTCCAAATTCAGCACAACAATGGACTAAAGTAGACAAGTAGCTGTCCCTTCAGACTCTTGTTACTTGACCAGCCACTGTGACACTGACATTTTCCCCCTCCACTGTGGGTCTCCTCTGAATGCAAGCCTGCCCGTCTTTCCTCTGACCTATGGCCTCAGACCCTTGAGCACCTTTGTCCTCTCTTTTCACCTTCCTCGAGCTCCTTCCCTCAGCCCCTGCACCAAGCTTCTTGTTACCCCTCGCTTCAGCTACCTCTAGGGCATTTATCTCTTGTCTCATTTGAAGCTCATGCTGCACCCCTCCCCCACCCCTAATCTTTCTAACAGGTTGGGTGGAGAAGGAGACATACTACTGAGCCCAATGGAAGAAGAACCAGATGTGGGAAAGATGGGGTGCCCGGAAGGTGTTGTAGGGGTGGTGATGGGAAGGGATGGGAAAAACTGGGCAATATTTATGGGGAAGTTCAGGAAGAGAAAATGAAGGAACTCAGCAGGCGAAGAGTGTGGAGCAGGCTAGTTACCTTGGAGCTACTGACCTAGTTGTGAACAACCAGGTTAGATATTACACGTTAGGACCCCTTCCCTGGATCCTTTCCCACCTACCCCAGGATGTCATGGAATTGAGGGTCACTCCAATCCTTCCCCTTCCCTATATCTTCACCCCTACCTCCTACTAGAACAGATCAACATCCAAAGGCAGGCACCTGTCTAAACCAGGAGAAGGGAAACCCTCGCAGATCACTCACCAAGAGTCCCTTCTCCTCAACCACACCCCACACCTCACTTCCCATTTCCACTCCTGCTCTCTTCCGGCCTCATTCACTTCTCTTTACTGCTTCCCTCTCAGACCTTGAAACCAGCGACAGCTCCACCTGGTGAGTACCTGAGGCCAGAAAAGGAAGCTCCTTGGAGAGGTGTGCTTCCTGATGAAGTTTAGTCAGAAACCTTGGGAGGAGAGGTTAGGGCACAGCCAAAGGAGGGACCCAACAAAGGAAAAGAGCCAGAGAGGGAGAGAGGCTGCACCAGTGACAAGTCCTGAGCCTCCCGGTAGATGTTGAAGGCTGCAGCTCTGTGTTCTGCCCTTTCAGTGGGCTCTTTGCCAGTAGACCAAATTCAATCTGAGTAGAGTAGCAGCAGAGAGCAGACCAAGAGGCAGGATGAGAAGGCAGCGTGGACAGCTTCATTGAGATCCCACACCTGTATGACCCTTCCGTTCCGAGACCCTTCCCCTTCAAGCCCACCCTTAGGAACCAGCATCCTTCCCAGCAATGCCATATCAGTCCTGGAGAGAGAGTCCCCTGGCTGTTGGCTAGAGTTGGGATAAGAAAGTTCTGGAACATCCCAGGGACATGCAGAATGATGACATAAAAGTGGTCAGAACTTTTGAGCCCCATGAGGTCAGACATTGTGAGGTGATTTGGCCCTCACCTCTTAGATGGCAGGACTGTTCCTCCCAGGCTAACACCCTTCACTCTGATGAGCATTGTGCCCATTTTCCCTCAAATGGGGAGTTCGTTCCAGGTCCCCACAGAGGATGCTTTTCCTCCCGCTGTCCTACTCCACCTAATATTTTTGCTCTACAGGCAGCTCTGCCCATTCTCTAGACCTGGCTTAGAAGGCATTGGAAATGTCCCGTAGAGATACCCAGATGGGCCAAGCAATTGAGCTAGAGAGAGGCCTCAGGAACACGGAAGACTTAAGGCAGAGAGGAAAGAAGCACGGAAGACAAACACTTGAGGTCAGGCCCATCAGCGACCCCACCCCCAAGAGCACTGGAATTTCACTTTGTCAGACGCACCTTAAAATAAGGGAGTCACTGCCTTGGACTCGGAAATCTTAATTGGAAGCCATACTAATTTGGACCCGATAACTTTGAGATTATTGACTGAACAAAGTTTATCTTTCTTTGCACAATCAATAAAAATGGCATTTGTTCTGTAAATTAAGAGGATAAACCATATTGCTAGGGGTGGCATATTTAGTCTACCTACAACAAATACTTTTTCAGGCACTTTAGGACTATCCATTTAAAAGTAGACAATGCATGAGCTAATTATCATTGATCTTTATGTATTTGGTAAAGAAGCATCTACAAGACCTTGACTTTGATGACCTTTTGTAAGACACTAGTTTGAGGCACTACATATGTACTTGAAAATAATAAAGTTGCATTTCTTTATGGAAAAAAAAGAAACCTCTCCATAATTCAAATGTCTCTAATGTATGTTTGCCCCTCTCCCTAATTGTAAGTTGTAAATGTGTGTTGTGGCAGGATGAGGCTTATAGAAGGCACAACTTGAAGAAAAACCAAAAGGGCAGATCTGAGTGATAGAAGGAAGGGTAATCTGGAACCAGAAGATGTGGGTGGAGGAAGCTGAAGGGAAATAAGCTAGGTGGTAAATGACCTACAAGAAAATATACTAGTGCTGCCTTCTTCATGGCTGATCTGATCCAGGCAGTCGTAAAATTTATTCAGGAAAGGAAAAAGCCTGTGAGGCTATTTGGGTCCCAATCCTCAGAGCTGTTTCCGTTTTTCTGACCAAAATTAGACTCTTTCAAGCTGAGAGGCTGGGGAAAGGAGATGGTGCAATAAGGGAACAAGATCATTAGGGAGCTCTGGTGGCCTAGTGGCAAGAAGCTGCACTGTAATCCCAGAGGTATATGGTTCA